GCGGTTTAAATGCTCAAATGCGTATATAACCACGTTCCATACCACACATTCTATTTCTGACATGGACCGTTGACTTAAGCGGTGGAGATGCGTTCCCACGGCTTCTAGCGGATCCAAGCTGATCCGCTAGAAGAATTACTGGCTCTGCATTTCACCGACCATAAAGCAGTAATAATGAAGTCGAAACGGCAACCCGGAGCTCAGCACTACCTAAGAGCAATAAAAAAACATCACCACCATCAGCACTACCCATGAACAATAAAATCAGTATCGTCAGCACCACCAGAGCTTTGCCCCGTTTGCCCCAGTCAACATCATTCACCACGTGGAGATGCGGTTGCTGTCAGGGTCGCGTCCCCGTGGCGCTCTACCTCCATATTTGCTTACCGTTAATAAACGGAGTTACGCTTCAACCACCGACCGCATCGGACGTCTCTCTCTCCTTCCGGGGCTCCCGCGCCCGGCCCGCCGGTCACCACTTCGGCATGTGAGACCCCTCGTTTTTCCGCAGGCCCACGCAGGCACTGCTCTTCGTTATTTTCTCGGCTGTCCGCATTTTCTTTTATTACAACAGCGGTAATTTTTTTTTTTTTTTTTTTTTATTTTAGAGCAGAATTATTTGATGGCGTTACTTTCGTGTGCATGTGAACTTGTGAACAAATGGTGTATGTGAGCCCTGAACAAACTCCAGCAAAAATTTACGGACATATTCTAAAAGAAAAGGGAAAGCAAACCCGTAAATTTTGAGTTTCGGTTCCACTTTAATTTCAGACACGTCAATTTTCCAAGTTCGAGAGCCAGATCTTTTTTAGGGGTTAAAAGCGCTAAAAACGACGGACGAGTAGGGGAGACACACACCACAGAGCGCTCTGTGGTGTGTGTCTCTCCTACTCGTCCGTCGTTTTTAGCGCTTTTAACCCCTAAACATGTTCAACCAACTAGCCCCAATCCAAACCCTTCCGCCAGATCTTTTCTTTCAGCATGCAGTAAAGCGTCTGTTCGTGACACGATGAAAGGAAGACGTGAAACAGCATCGGTACCATCCTTTCGATTTTATTGCTCACCCACGTCGTCGAACTCAACAGCGCTTGTGTGTGTCTGCCCAAACAGAACAGTTCGAACACATGCGATATGTCTCGCGTGATCGTAACAAATCGGAAGCGAAACCAGTTTTCTTACTTTTTTAGCTTTGTTCTGGAATCTAAAAAGCCTTTTGGCGTCCGCGTCTGCACCTGTATCCGCGTGAATATTGGGACCGCCGTGGTAGGCCGGGACGGTCCCAATATTCGTTTTCCAGGAAGGGGAAGAGAAGGTTTTGGCCGCACTACGGGCATTCCGGCAATCTCTGCTAGAAGCTCCTGAGCCATTCCTGCCGCTCGTGCGTCGAACACGTGTAAAGAAATTAGCACCGCGATTGCGAAAACATCTTCGAAACGACCGCGGCGGCCACGGAGAGGGGATTCCCGGGCAGTTGAATGACGGGAAGGCATCCGCCGATCCCGGAGCAGTGGTCATGTTCCACTGAGGATCCAATGGCGGCGCGACCCCGTTCGGATCGTGTGCTTCATTCCGGATCTGGTCATCTGATCCCGGCGCGCTCCAAAACGCCCTGTGGAATTCGCCATCACATCCAGATCGAGATCTGGAGCGGGAGCTAATCCAAAATGGCCAGTGGAACACGTCGGTCTCGATCCCGATCGCCAGTCAAATAGTCTCGCTCCAGAAAAGTCGATCCCGGCGCGCTCCAAAACGACCCGTGGAATTCGCCATCAGTTGGCGATGAAATGGAAGAAAAAACAAACAAACAACGGAGAGAGCTATCGAGAGGCACACACGATAGATTAATACCAGATTCGGGAACTCAATTCAGCATGTACACTTACGCTTCGATCTCACTTTGGGCAGTCCGCAAAAATCAGTTTCTCGGCGTATCGCGCTAGAATTTACCACAGAGGTGCGGCTAGGTGGTGCACGGGGGGCTAGCGCACACCAGCTCGGAGCACGTGGAGCGAAAGCTCGTGCTGCAGAACCCAGGGATCCTGGGTTCAATCCCCACCCTTTTCCCGTTTCGATCTGGATGAACATCGTATCGGCGTGCGGTCGTGTATCACTACCTCACTACTGCGTGGTGCACGTTAAAGACCCCAGGCTAGCAGTCGTACTGCACTGGCAAAATTGTTAATCTACAATGGGTAACAATGTCGCCATGTTCTGGCAGACTAAACCCCTGCTGTATAAACAACTAACGACTTTTTTTTTTTTTTTTTTTTGCGTGCATTTCTCTAGTTTGCTTGAACAAGGAGGGCGCGGTACCTCTATTTTTTCGTCCGTTTCAGACACCAGATGGCGCGCGGCTCGTGAAGTGGTTGAACGCGCGACTTCTAGATGGCGCCAGTATCGAAGTGTGAAAAGGCCTGCGTTATACGCTGCGTGAAATAGATCCCCGAAATGTGCCGTGTTCTCATAGAGTAATCTACACAAGGGAAAGAGTGGCCACTCGAGCCGTTTCGCGGCCGAGCGTTTAGTTTTCTCACCGACCGCTAAGTGGTGCCAGTGTGCCAAAGAATGAAGATATTTCGTGAGGTTTGTTATAAATAAATACTCAAGTATTAATTTTATTATATTTAAAATTGTTGCAAGTATCATAAAGGGTGAAATAGTTTTTGTTTACTACGTTAAGAAGATCACGTGATGTAAGGGCCAGTTCCGGTTCCTGCAGTTGCTTCGCGAAAGGCGAGCGCCTATCCAGAGACCTTGCCCGTGCCTAGATCTGGGGACAAGGGGGACAAGGCCAGCGTAGGGAAAAAAAGCTCGTAGGGAGTCCGTTCGCGTGGTCGTGATGATGATGATAACCATGCAATAACGCCTGAGACTGTGGTGAAAGAAATTGGAAACGAAAGGCACGGGCAAGGTCTCTGGATAGGCGCTCGCATGAGAAAGCGGCTGGAGTGGCTAAAGCGGGACGGACGGACGGACGCGTGCGTGCGTGGACGGCGTGACCGCATGGTGCCTGACGCCTGTCAACGCGTTTTGTGTTGAGCACATGTGAGTACAGCGAGCAGAATGTGAGCACAACGTGGATATTGTCTGCGCCTAACAGGTTTCTTCAGAAGGTAAGACGTTTTCTAATTTCTTTGTTATTGCTTAGTCGCGAGCAAAACACAGCGTGCGCATACAAGGGCAAGAGAAAAAAGCGAACTGTATCGTGTCCGTTGGTTTTACCCGTTATTTGTATGCTCAGAGGTCCAACAGATGCTGCGAAATAAACCTCAGACAGCAGCCGGCTTTTCCCGTGTGTGTTATTATTGTTACATGGGCTGCGCTATCGTACTAAGAGCTACGAATATTTGTGTTTATATCTTACATTTTTTTCTTTCTCAGATGCCCTCCGGTTGCTACTACGGTAGCTACTGCTGTGTCGCATGGTGCGAAAACAACCGTAAAACGCACAAGAAACCCGGCACAAAATTTTTCCGAATCCCGCGTGACGCAAGGTAGGTTGGCGTGAGCTCCTTCTTGTCAATAGTTCCTTGGAACCATTTGAACCATATAAAAAAATCCCAATAATTTATTTTTCTTCACAACATAATTAATTACTAGAATGCGCTTTTAAATAAAGCGCTAAAGTTGACTGGATGCCTTAACTGTAATGTGGGGATTTGGGCTAAGCGATCTCAGGTCAGTTATACTAATTTTAGTACTGACTTACCACTTTGTCTTTGAAGATAAAAACTGACACATTAATCTTATAAGACAAAATTGTTAAAGGAAAAGGAGCAGCCCTTGATTTGTCTCATACGTAGCTTGAATGTATCGTTTTTGATGTGGCGCTAAATTTGAGTTATAAAAGCGCTGCTTCATGGTGGGGTGAATATTGCTCTCTACTGATACTGTCTTTTCCTAAAGAAATGTGAATGTGCACCTGCTGTTAATTAGCTATAAAATGACCTGTTGTTGGGCGAGTTAGTGAACGTTAGAAATCGTGTTTTTTGTGCGAAAGGACAAACACAAGGGTGGACAACAAGAACAAGCGCGCTTGTGCTTGTTGTACTCCCTTGTGTTCGTCCTCTCGCGCAAAAACCATGATTTCTTAGTTGAGCTACTTTTGCACTACTCTGGAGCAGAAGCCCAAATTTGTCTGTGTGCGTTGAGACATCCAAAGCAAACCTTCCAAATAAAAATATGTCCCCATCGCTTGCAAGCGGAGCCAAAATGTCGAAGAGAGGGTTGCAGATTGGCATCTAACATTTTGTGCCAACGTGTACATTTAACACATTGGAAAATAATATATATTCCAGGTCAAAGGCTTGACTCGACTATGCCAAGAAGTACGATCCTCTTGGAAAGTCTGCTTCGCAACTCTATGCCACCTATCGCCGTCTGCAGTGATCACTTCACTGCAAAAGATTTTATGGACCCAGGGCAAACAACCCTAGTGCGATCAGCTGTGTCTACTGTTCGTCCTCCCATAAACTAAGCATCTGCGATAGGTGATTGAAATAATGTGTTTCCCTCATATACACAAAGGTATAAGTAACTTCTCTGTGTAGGCTAATAAGCCCATTCTTCCAGGTCCCACTCAGGCAACCAGCTCATCTGGCCCTTCACTCCAGTGCAGCTCCGTCGCTACGAACCGTGCTGTGCTTGGTAAGAGGTTATCTCGTCATGGTGCACTTCTGTGTCTAATAATGAAACCTTTCCAGACCAGGCAGAGCCCGACAGACTGCAGAATTCACCACTCCCATGCAGCTCCGCAGTAATGCACTCTGCAGTCTCGGTAATATAGAGTTATTTTAAAGCATCAGCCTGTGCCCAATATGCGCACTCTTCCAGGTCCCACTCAGGCAACCAGCTCGTCTGGCCCTTCACTCCAGTGCAGCTCCGTCGCAGCGAGCCGTGCTGTGCTTGGTAAGAGGTTATCTCGTCATGGTGCACTTCTGTGTCTAATAATGGAACCTTTCCAGACCAGGCAGAGCCCGACAGACTGCAGAATTCACCACTCCCATGCAGCTCCGCAGTAATGCACTCTGCGGCACTCGGTAATATAGTTATTTTAAAGCACCAGCCTGTGCCTAATATGCACACTCTTCCAGACTCAAGTCAGGCAACCAGCTCTTCTGGTCTTTTCGCTGACCACTGTGGTCCAGGTCAACACTGTAAGTGTCCCATTTTGCTTTCGCCACTTTTTGAAACATATTTGTGTGAACCTCTATAGCCAGTAGATAATACAATATGTCCCAGAAGGATCAGTTTAAAGAATTCTAGGTCCCTTTATAAGCTATAGTCTTTGCTTCGTGTGTGTGGCATACCGATCTAACCATTTGTATTACTAATGACTGGGAGGTGTGGGAAAATGGAACACACATATCGAGCGGAGGTTTCAAGTGAATTTTTCATGGCTGTTTTGCGTTTTTCATGCTATTTCAGCCTTTCGAACTTGCAAGGTTATCAAGGATTTTACGTGAAGACATTTAGTACAGAACATTTTACATGACTAGTAAAAGAATAACGTAATTGGTGGTCAGAACTTTCACTGGCTTTGACAGTGCTTAAATGGTAAAGCACAAGAAGAAAATTCAGGCTTCACTCCACACCTTACCTGGTATGCTACAGGTTAGTGGTGCTTGTAATGGTTAAATCGTATCGCACTTATTGCAACTGTTCTTAATCTCACTGACTTGTCGCCATTTTTATAGCTGGTCCAAACCATCCTGCACCTGTTTGCCGCAAGCTCACGAAAAGGCCCGAGGACGTTATCAAGCGACTCCAGGTGAGAATTTCCAGCTACAGAAAGACGATAGCCAGACTGCGGAAACAGCGGCTGAAGACGCCTCAGACAGCTTCTCAAGCTCTGGAAATAATTCGGCCTCATGTTTCTGAAGAGGTATTTCACCTCATATCATCGCATATAAAGAATAGGTCGAAGGGCAAGGGGAAGCGATTTCCACTGTGGCTGAAGAAATTTGCGCTCCATCTGAATTTTCATGGACCGCGGGCATACCTATTTATGTCTTCAGTGTTCACGCTACCATTTCGGCGTTCACTACGAAGGTGGCTCGCCAATGTCAAAATGACGCCAGGTATCATTCCAGGCATCATGTCATCGATTGCGTCAAAAACAAAGTCATGGAATGAACGCGACCGCATTTGTACTTTAGTGTTTGACGAGAGGATATTGAAAAAGAACTTGTCATACGATGTGGCGCAGGATGTTGTCCTCGGATTTGCAGATGATGGTGTTGAGCGAACTTCCAGTATTGCTGACAGAGCCCAGGTTTTCCTCCTCTCTGGAGTTTCTAGGAGGTGGATGCAACCTGTAGCAAACACTATTGGGCATACGTCAACACCATCCTCTGTAACTCGTAACCTGCTTATGTCATTGATTGAGCAGCTGAAGGACATTGGCTTTACTATCAAAGCAGTGGTCTGTGACCAGGGTGCCTCCAACGTAAGTTTGGCGCGTCAACTTGGAGTGTCTGTTGAGCAGCCATTCTTCAAAGTGAGAAATGAAAGTGTCTATTTTATTCTTGATGTCCCGCACCTGATAAAGACCACCCGTAACAACCTGCAAGCCCACAAGCTTCACACCCCGCAGGGGGCACCTGTGAAAGCAGGTGTTTGGAGAGTGGCGTCTCCACGGACCCCGAGCCATGCGGGTTCGCCCGCCCACGTATGGCTGTGCGTGGCTTTCCCGTGTCTGGGGAAAAGGGCATCCTGGTGGTTGAGCCAAGCCCGGGGTAGGTTTGGACCCTTCGGGGCCCCCCGGGCGAGGCAATACACCACTTCGGCCCCCGCTTCTCATAGACGGGAGTCCTGGTAAGGCCCGGCCAGGATGATTCAGTCTAGTCGCCACTTCTACTATCCCCTCCCTTCCTTCACCCTTGTCTTCTCCTTCTTTTCACTCTTCTCATTTCTCTTCTTTCCTTTTTCAACTCTTTTGGCGGCAAGGGCTAACCCTGGGTGGCGACAGACACCTTGTCTAGAACCACACTTGGTTATAGAAACTGGGCAGCACTAATAGAGTAACGTCTTCAGCCAAGCCATTCTTGTTATGGAGCGTTACCTATTCCCTTGTTGGGCTCGGTGGTGGGCGGTGCACCACAGTTTCCGAAAACCCTCCCCCTTCATATGGGTTCCAAACTTCAACCTTTTGATCGGCCCCCCAAAAGGGGCCGCACCGAAGCACTGAACATGATGAAAGAATCTTTCGTACTGCAGAAATTCCCGAAATTCCTTGTAATGCACTCGGAAGGTGAGAAGCCACTTGGCAAACTTTCTCCCTTTCTGGTCTCCAAAGTTCTTGAGAGTGTTATTGGCTCCAATTACAGTGCAAAAAAGATGGCTTCTGATGATCTCCTTGTCGAGGTCAACACAAAGCAGCAGAGTGATGCCCTTCTCAAACTCAACCTTGTCTCCGACTACAAGGTAAGCGTCAGTCCTCACCGCAAACTGAACAGTGTTCAAGGAGTCATTTCTGAGGATGACTTGCTTGACTCACCTGAGCCAGAGATAATTGAGGGCCTCTCTAGTCAAGGAGTTACAGATGCACGACGAATCACTATCCGCCGTGATGGTGTGGAACGGAAGACAAAACACATCATTTTGACTTTCGATTCAACCACTCTGCCACAGACTGTAAAAGCAGGTTACCTTCAGTGCCGTGTCCGACGTTATGTGCCGAACCCTCAACGGTGCTTTAAGTGCCAGAGGTTCGGCCATGGGTCACGGAACTGTCGGGGAAGGGACACCTGTGCAAAGTGCTCCAGCAAGGAGCACGTCACAGATGCGTGCAATAATGAGCCCCATTGCGCAAACTGTGGTGGCAACCACCCGGCATACTCCCGCTCTTGCCCTGTGTGGAAAGACGAGAAAGAAGTTGTTACATTAAAAGTCACTGAAAACATCACGTATACTGAGGCAAAGAAGCGTTTTGCCTTTGTTTCAAAAGGCACTTATGCCGAGGCCGTGCGGAGGGGACCAGCTCGGCCAATGGTTTCGATGGGAACGCAGACGTCTCCGGACGACCTGCATCTCCCATCACGGTCCCCCTCAAAACCCCCCGGGAGCGGCGCCGGTGGCACCGCCTCCGAACCGCAAGGTGAATGCTGCCTTGCCAGCATCCACCCCAGAACAGGAGATGACGTCTCCTGCTCAACCAGCTGCTTCGACCTCTCGGGGTCGGGGCCTACCTCCCCACACCTCTGCTCCCCAGAGGAAGCCTGGGGAAGTGCCAAAGCAGTCAACCTCCAAGGGCCAGCTGCCAGCAACTGCAGACGAGCCCATGGATGAGGGTGGGTCGAGATCTGATGAGGAGGCTCTCCTCTCAAGATCAGAGTCCACCCCCTCTGCCTCCGGTGACTCTAATCGGAGGCAGAATAACCCCCCCCCCCCCAAAAAAAAAAAAAAAAAAAACAAAGTGCACCGCGTGTAAAAATAGATTTTAAACCGTAAGGAATATAGCTTTTTAGTAGAATTTGTATGTTATACTTATTTTGTTTTAAATGGTTAAAAATATAGGTATAATGCAGTGGAACTGCCGCGGTCTTTTACGAAATATTGATGATGTCAACTTTTTTCTCGATGAGCTCCAGCCTGTTGCCATCTGTTTACAGGAGACTCATCTTAATGAAACACATACACAGGTACTACGGCGACATCAGGTTTTTAGAAAGGACCGTGTTTCTTGCAACAGCTCTTCTGGTGGAGTAGCTGTGGTTGTGCAGAGTGGTATTGCCTGTGCTCCTGTCCCTCTTGCGACCCACTTAGAGGCAGTAGCAGTTCGTGTTCTGCTTGACCGCCTAATTACAATTGTCTCGCTTTACCTTCCACCAAACCTTCCAGTGCATGTACATGACCTGCAAGGACTTGTGGGCCAACTCCCGCAACCTTTTTTAATCTTAGGAGATTTTAATGCACACCACCCCATGTGGGGCAGTGGTCGTCAAGACTCCCGTGGTGGTGTCATAGAACGTTTTTTACTGTCATCTGGCCTTTGCCTTTTAAACAAGAGACAACCGACTTTTTTTTAGTGCACCTCATAATACTTTTACTTCCATTGATCTTTCCATATCATCACCTGCTTTACTTCCTTGTTTTTCTTGGAAGGTTTTAGAAAATCCTTTTGGTAGTGACCATTTTCCTGTAATTTTAGAAAGTTCAGTATCCCTTCCTTCTCTTCGAGCTTGTGCTCCCAAGTGGAAATTAGATAAAGCCGACTGGTCTTTATTTTCTCTGGAGGCAGCCGTCGATCCCGCTGTTTTTTTAGCTATGTCTCCTGAGGAAGCGACTCTTTACCTTACTGAAAAAATTATAAATGCTGCTTCTCTGTCAGTTCCCCGAACTTCTGGAAATATTCCCAAGAAATGCAAGCCTTGGTGGAACAAGGACTGTACGACCACCATAAAAGCTCAGAATAAGGCTTGGGGAAGGTTTCGGCGGTACCCGACTGTTCAGAACAAGATTAAATTCAAACAGTGCAAAGCAAAAGCTCGTTGGACACGAAAACAAGCCAAGAGGACCTCATGGGTAAAATATGTATCCTCTCTGAACAGTTTTGTTCCTGCAAAAGAGGTATGGGATCGTGTTCGGAAAATTCGGGGTACTTACCACTCCTTCAGTATTCCCCTTTTTCCTTCATCATCCCCATCACTAAAAGATCAGGCTGACATTCTTGCTGATCATTTTCGAGAGGTCTCCAGTTCTTCAAATTACAGTACTAAATTTAAAAAGTTCAGGTCTTTGGCAGAAAAACAGCCAATTGATTTCTCTGGAAGTGATACTGGTTACAACCGGCCGTTCACAATGTATGAACTTGAAATAGCCCTTGCAGTAAGGAAGCAGTCAGCACCTGGCCCAGATATGATTCATTATGAACTGCTGAGGCACTTGTCGGCTGAATCCTTGATGAATTTGTTGTCTTTCTTTAATCATTTATGGGCAGCTTCTTGTTTTCCACAGTGCTGGAAGCAAGCACACATCATTCCCATCTTGAAGCCTGGCAAAGACCCTCCCCTACCAGCAAGTTATCGGCCTATCGCTTTGACTAGTTGTCTAGGAAAAACTTATGAACGGCTTATAAACAGAAGGCTAGTATACATTCTAGAACAAAAGAAAATTTTCGATAAAAACCAGTGTGGTTTTAGAAGAGGTCGCTCAACCTTGGATCACCTTGTCCGGTTAGAGACTTTTGTTCGTGAGGCTTTTGTGAACCGGCAGCATTGCCTTTCTGTCTTTTTTGATTTACAGAAAGCTTATGATACGGCATGGCGGTACGGAATACTTCAGGACCTGTATAGGTACGGTGTTCGAGGTCGCATGCTGCGTTGCATAAAGGACTTCTTGACAGACCGTTGTTTTCAGGTCCGCCTGGGATCCACGCTCTCGGATGTTTTTACACAGGAAAACGGCGTCCCACAGGGAGGTGTCTTGAGTGTTACCTTGTTCGCAATTAAGATCAACAGCCTCGCTGCAGTTATACCATCATCAGTTTTTTATTCATTGTACGTAGACGATGTCCAGA